AGCATACTGCTGAGAAGTATTAACAGTCATTCCTTTCTGTACACACACAAAAATTCACTGCACCCAGAGGAATCATGTCAAGCATTCTACCTGCTTGGGTCTAAAAGTCATGTATATTGTTCCGGCAAGTCTACCTTGCTGCCATTACGCTTTGCCCAGCTTTAGAAAGGAGCGTTCAGTGAAACAAATGACACCTATACAATGTCAATGTAAAAGGCTCCTGTGTTCCAATTCTATCCTATACTTTCAAGACAAAGGCTCTTTCAGGGTAGGAGGTTCAACATCACTTGCTATGTACTCTAGTCCAATTAAATTTGCAATTTGTAATATACAATTTTATATCTATAATTCTTTCTGTCATTTTACATTGCTTTAATATGAAAAGAAGTCTCCACTTCATTTGAATTCCTTAGAAATCTTGAGTTTTTTAAAAGCTTGTATGTCCTTCCCTACATCCGTTCCACCTACACAAATTTAACACTGACAGACTAATTAAGTTGGATAGCAATCCATGCACTCTGCAAAAGACAGATGCCAAGGCACAGGAGTCATGGGTAAGTTCATGCTTATTTTCCATACTGTAATGGACAGGATGGAAGATGGGGTCAGAAATTGTAAATCAGAAGGAAAAACACCAAAGTTAATTTAACAAACAAAGAGAAGGAAAATTAGTGAAAATGAGTTACAAGGCAAAAGACTTTCTTTCTTTAAAAAGAAACACACACACACACACACACACACACACACACACACACAAAACCACAAAAAAAAAAAAAAAAACTCTAACAATATATATGAAAAGGGCAAGCTTAAAAGGTGGACTAACTAAAAACTAAATAATGTTTCTGGACTAGCAAACAGAAGTCCTAGATTTGTCACCAAAATGCTCTTGCTTGTCCCACACAACAGGTAAAAAAAAAGATGCTTCAGGGGCAGAATAACAATGGACAGCACTAGGAGTCTCAAGTTTGAGTTCCAGCTCTAGAGATACAGCAAGGCCTGTAATCCCAGCACTTGGCCAAGGCAGGTGGATCACCTGAGGTCAGGAGTTCGAGACCGGCCTGGCCAACATGGTATAACCCCATCTCTACTAAAACTACAAAAATTAGCTGGGCATTGTGGCATATGCCTTTAATCCCAGCTACTTGGGAAGCTGAGGCGGAGAATCGCTTGAACCAGGAGGTGAAGGCTGCAGACGGCTGAGATTGTGCCACTGCACTCCAGCCCAGGCAACAGAGCAAGACTCTGCCTCAAAAATAAAATAATTTTAAAAACAAAAAGGATACAGCAAGAAATCTTAGGTCTAAAACATACCAATAAACTCATTTTTCATAGATTATGGAAATAATTTTGACTTTCAAGTTTCGATCACAAAGCCAGAATGTGTTACAGTTTAATTCTGAGTCGGCTTCATTCTTGGTTTTTGATCATTATAGAAAATACAGAAACCAAAGAATAACATAAAAGAAAAAAAGGGAATGTGGCATCGTACAGCTTAAGAAAAAATAATTTTGGTGTTATTTCCTGATTATCAAAAACAATAACTAAATGATATATTTTTCATTAACCTAAAATCAAGAATTATCACACTGATTTTCTCCCCCCTCCTAGAAATATGCCCAATTAAAAATATCAGACTAATGTTATATATATTATATGTTATTTAATCCAACTAATATTGCAGCATAGTTATTTTCCATATTACTAAATATGCCTAATGCTTGCATGTAACTTCTCTTTACATTTATTTATAATTCATTTAACCACTCCCACACTGCGTAAGTTTTTTGTTTGTTTTTTTGCTATTAAAAAATAGTACAATTACTAGTTTCAACAAACACGGAGGATCACTACGAATAATTTTTTCTTAATTTTAATTTTTCTTTTTTCATTGGCCTACTTAGAAATTATACTATGACTTAGAAATTATTTCTGACTCTTGATAAATATTTCTAAATTTGCTTGTCTCAAAATACAAATCAATTTACACAAAACAGTAGTAATATGAGATTGCCTATCTTAAACTCTCCCTAAGATTTGAGCATTAACATTTCCTTTCAATTTTTGCCAAATGGCATTTCACCATTACCTTTCATTCTTCCAAATGAACACTGAAAATTTATCTGGAAAAGTGCTTTCAAAAAATGTAGTCGACAAAGACTAACATCTTATAATGTTCAGTCTTATCATCTACAAACATTATGATGTCTTTCCAAGTAATCTTCTGTATTTCTTAAAAGTTTCCAGATTTCTTTTTATATTCTTGCAGTACTTATGGCCTCTCACTACTGTATTACAGAACTTTACAGTTTTTTATTTGCAAAATTCATGTTATTTTCCAAACAACCCTCTGATCTTTTTTTTTTTTTTAAACCAGAAGATTATTTTCTGTGGTTTCTTTTTTTAAAACTCCAGAGAATATACCAAGTAATTTCTATGGTTTCATAGCCTACAAATTACTATTTTAAGATTATAAATTTCTGAGTATATATTTTTTTCCTTTCTGTACATGTTATGGTTCTGTATTCTAATTTTCTAAGTAGCTTTGATTTCTACTTTGGTCTAGTAAAGTTTCTTTGTTTCCAAGTACTGGGTGAGGTAAAACCAATGTTGTCTGTGTACAATCAACTGAAAAAAAGGTGTATTAATTTTATAAAAGATATCAAGTTTATTTGATTTATTGCTTTTTGCTTAAATTATTTTTATATGACATTAATATAATCCCTTCTTAATTTCAATTTTAATTTGTCTGATTCACCTTTGCATATCCTTTTGCTTTAAATCATAACATTTTAGATCACTTTTTTTTCAGGGGAATGGGGGGTAGGGAATGCAGGTGTCATCACTGGTCAAGAGCTTATACCTGAGAGGACTGGAGTACTGTCATGTATTCTTAACAACAGAGACACTTGCTAAGAAATTCACTGTCAGGTGATTTGATCCTTGTGTCAGGATCACAGCGCATACTAATGCAAACCTTGATGATACAGACTACTACACACCTGGGTATATGATATTGCCTATTGCTCCTAGGCTACATGCCTGTACAGCATGTTACTGTACTGAATACTGCAGGCAACTGAATACAATGGAAGGCTTTTATGTATCTAAACTTACCTAAACACAGAAGAGGTACAATAAAAATACAGTATAAGGTTGGGCATGGTGGCTCATGCCTATAATTCCAATGCTTTGGGAGGCCAAGATGAAAGGATTGCTTGGCTCCAGGAGTTTGAGACCAGTCTGGGCAAACTGGTGAGACCCCAACTCTAGAAAAACTTTAAAAATTAGCCCAGCATGTTGGCACACAACTGTAGTCATATCTACTCAGCAGGCTGAGGCAAGAGAATTGTTTGAGCCCAGGAGTTCAGGGCTACAGTGAGCCATGATCGCATCACTGCATTCCACCCTGGGTGACACAGTATGACGTTGTCTCTTGAAGAAAAAAAAAGGTATAAAAGATAAAAATGGTACACCCATGTAGGGCACTTACCACGAATGGAGCTTGCAGGACTAGAAGATGCTCCAGTGAATGAGCAAGTGGCAAGTGAATGTGATAGCCTAGAACACCTACTTCACTCTACCACAGAATTTATAAACGCTGTACACTTAGGCTACACTACATTTATTAAAAAGCTTTGTCGTTCTTCAGTAGTAATCTTAGCTTAGTGTAACTTTTTTACTTTATAAACTCTTTTTAACCTTTTGGCTCTTGTAATAATACTTACCTTAAAACACTAACACATTATTCAGCTGTAGAAAAACATTTCCTTTTTTATAACCTTATTCTATAAGCTTTGAAGTATTTTTAATTTTTTTTTTTAACTTTTTAACCTTTTTGTTAAAAATGAAGACACAAACACACACATTAGTCTACGGCTACATGGGGTCAGGATCATGAATATCACTATCTTCCACCTCCACGTAATATCTCACCGGAAAGAATTCAGGGTCAATAAAGGAACAGAGCTGTCATCTCCTCTGATAACAATGCCTTCCTCTGGAATATCTCCTGAAAGAGCTACCTGAGGCTGTCTTACGCTAATTTTTTTATGTTTTATTTTTATTTATTATTATTTTTTTAGACAGGATCTTCCTTTGTTGCCCTGGCTGAAGCGCAGTAGTGGGATCATAGTTCATATAAGCCTCAAACTCCTGAGCTCAAGCTATCCTCCCACCTCAGCCTCCTGAGTAGCCAGGGCTACAGATGTATGTCACTACACTCGACTATTTTTTTATTTTTTTGCAGAGACAGGGTCTCATTACGCTACTCAGATTGGTCTCGAACACCTGTATCAAACAATCCTTCTACCTCAAGCTCCCAAAGTTCTGGGATTACAGGCATGAGCCACTGCACCTGGCCAACTTTATTTTTTTTAATAAGTAGAAGGAGTGTACTGAATCATAAAAGTATAATATAGTAAATACATAAGCCAGCAACATAGTCATTTATTATCACTATCAAGTATTATATATGGCACATAATTACATGTGCTACACTTTTATAGAATGGGCAGTGCCATAGAGTTTTTTAACACCAACATCACCACAAACGCATGTGGAACGTGTTATGCTGCAAAGTTATGACAGGTGGTAGAAACTTTTCAGCTCCATTATAATATTGTGGGACCACCGTTGTATACACAGTCTATCCTTACCCAAAACATCATTATGCGGCCATGATAACATTTGTTTGGTTTTCTTGTTTGCTTGTTTTTAAGTTAGGGTCTGGCTCTGTTGCCCAGGTTAGAGTGCAGTGGCACAATTTCAGCCCACTGCAGCCTCTGCCTCCTGGGCTCAAGAAATTCTCCTGCCTCAGCCTCCTGAGTAGCTGGGACTATAGGCATGCACCACCATGCCCAGCTAATTTTTGTATTTTGGGCAGAGATGAGGTTTCACCATGTTGGCCAGGCTGGTCTCGAACTCCTCAGTTCAGGTAATCCTCTCACCTTGGCCTCCCAAAGTGCTGGAATTACAGGTACGTGCCACGGCACATCTACATTTGTTTCTTAATACTGGATCTATTCCAGGGGCTAAAAGATTACATGGTACAGAGTGGAATCTCAACAATTACGAATTATTAGTTATAATACATCTGCCTGTCTTTATACTTTCAACTGGCAAGCACCTGATAAATTAAACTGAGGTTTCCTGTGATCATCAGTCAATGAATCTCTGCTACTCTTAGAATAAGAAATACGTGAAATATTATAATACTTTCTAAGGTCATGAAAATCTTCTAGGTATTAATGAGAATCCGGGTTACACAAATATCTATTTGTCTACATCCAAAGCTCATCAAATGATAACCTTAAATATATACATTTTTTCATTTATACATTATACCTCAAAGTTTAGAAAGTATTGGGGGAAAACTACAGCTCAAGGAATAACTGTGCCTGTGCCCTATGTAGAAAGCACGCTGCTGATACAAACATTAACATATTTACGAAACTATATTCAAATACAAAATATTGTGTCATCATATTTTGTAACATGGTAAATATCCCTTTATATTGCACCAAAAATTAGAGTTAGGCTTCAAGCTGATTTTTACATAGCTTATTATAATAAACAGTGTTATCCAGCTGATAGGAGATAAAAAACACCCATGGGTACTTTTACCATTCAGGTAAAATAAATGCTTTGTTCTTTGAGATCTAGAGTAATAACTGTCCACTTATTAAACAAAAAGTTTATTTTTTCCTATAAATAACCTTTACAGTATACGAATACTCTAGACTTGAAAACCCTTTACCACCTTCAAACACTTTCAATATTCAAACCTAACTACCTAAGTTTGAACTACACTTTCTATCACAGATCTGGAAGTAGTTTATGAGCTATCAAGGAAGACAGGGGCATTCACAGAGTGATCATTCACTCAGTTTGTGGAAACAGAGCATCTTTCATTCATTATGATTTTGCTAGGGAATATCTTCTCATCTGTTAAGATTTATGAATGACATTTGCTAGGGAAAGTTTCAAACATTTTTTGGAGATATTCCTGGAAAATAGAGGGCAACGTACTGGCATATGTGATTGTCAGGTGGGAGAATATATCAATCACTTAATTATCAATTATTCATTAAGGAGGGCTTTAAAATACAATGTAAATGAACCATGTGTAAAGTAGTCATGAATTCCAAGTATATAATAGTGTGCAGAACACAGAATAAAAACTTTTTTTTTAAATACGTAATTTACTTGAAGGAGTTTCCTTTCTTAAACATATTCTCTATGAAAAGCAATTTGTACTGACACAAGTTACCACATCTTCCAAGGTCTTTTAGAAGAAATATTTATACAAAAACAGCAAAATAATGAAAACCAAGTGTTTAACTCTAAACTAATGTTACACAAAATCACTGAGATAATTTTTTATTTCATTCCAGAACTCTCCTTTCCACTGAGTCCTCCAAGCCTCAGCCCACACCCCTCATTAGTAACCACAAAATAAATTCTTTTTTATGTGATACTTAGTCTCAGAAACAAACTGTGGAGTCCCAAAATCAGAGGTCAGTTGACAAAATTAGCCTTCCTCAGCTACACCCATAAGTGCCAGTGGATACCGGCCATTCCCACATCCTTTCACCACTGGCTCTCAAGAAGGACTAGATTTGGCTCTTCAGAGCCCTTGGCAGAAAGAGATAAACATTAAAAAACAAAACACTATTTTGAACTGAACTGATACTGTAACAAAAAAGTAACATTTGATTCTTTAAAACATTAGCAAAGACTTGCATGGTCTGACCCTCAGCAACAGGAAGACATATTCAAAGCCATGAGATTAACGCTTACATAGGCTTTTATTGTTGTGAGACAAGGTCTTGCTCCGTCGCCCAGAGTGGAACGTGGTCCCACAGCAATCACAACTCACTGTAGCCTTGACCTCCTGGGCGCAGGCAACTCTCCTACCAAAGCCTCTTAAGTAGGCTGGCCCACAGGTGCATGCCACCATGCTGGCAAATTACCGTTATTTTTGCAGAGACAGGGTTTTGCCATTTTGCCCAGGCTGATCTCAAACTCCTAAGCTCACGCAATCTGCTCACTTTGGCCTCCCAAAGTGTTAGGATTACAGGTGTGAGCCACCACACCAGGCTACATTGCCTTTTGTTGATGACACTGCTAAAACTGGCTCTTACCCTTAGATGGTGAGGTTAGCTACTCCTGAGCTAAAAGGATGCATATATAACATACATACATAATGTATGAATTCCCAGACTTTAACCCAAACTGGTGAAATCTAAGTATTTCTACTATAGACTTTAACACAAACTGGTAAAATACAAAGGAAAAAGAAAAGAAACTTTCAAATTTTTTTAGGCCTGCTATTTGGATATTACAGGAACCACTGTGATTTATATTTGGCCTGAGGGTATAAAGATCTGATTTTATTCATGACTTGGTCAAATCTTTTCAAAACACAAGAGCCAACTGTTCATAATATTAAGAAACGAGGTGGTTTAAACCTTAATATACTCTGCTTATATATGTTCCGTTCAGTAGAAAAGTACAGGAGTATACTAGTGATAATCTCTCAATTATGAACAAATTTACAAATTCAATGCTGTCTTCTTAAATTACATGCCATCATTTACAATCCAAACATCATTTACAATCCAAACATCATTTAAGAGTTCATAGGCTTAAAAGAAGAACAAGAGCAAAAAAACCCTAACAACTCATTATTTTCCAAGCTCCCCTTTCAATTGTCTAAATAAATTCTAGATATGGCAGTCTACTGAATGAATAAATAAAAGCAACTATCACTCTTACTCTATAGAAAAGCAAAAAGCACAAACATGTAATCAAGAGACCACACCAAAGTAGCACAATGGAGAAGAATAAACATTTTCAGGACAGAAAACGTTTAAGAAGAACAAAGGTAGGTACATTTAATGGGCAAGGAATGAGCATGGAATTGTTGAAAGGTGGGATCTAAAAAGGCGGGAACTGCTTTCCAAGTAAAGCCTAGTCCAAAAAAATGTCTTGTGACCAGATCAATTTCCATTCCTTCTCGAAAGATGGAAGACATAAGTAAAATACATAGAGCTATGAGTACAGAGTGAATAATGATTAGTACATAAAAAAGTTGCTACTTCAAAGGATTTAGATATTAAGTAGAGGAATTAAAGAATTTCTCCAATGACATCAATCTCAACCTGACAGATGTTCTCAACATTTAGCCTCGCAACTCTCCCAGGGAGGGAGTACTCTTTTGCTTCCTGCTTTCAAAAAGGGTGCTGCCTCCATTTAGTGATGTTTATAAAATTGGCAGCAGCTTTCTATTTGAATGTTAATTATTGTTATGACACACAAGATAATTTTACTTGCTTCGGTAATTTATTCATCCTTCTAATTAGATGTAGTCATTGGAAAATCTTCCAGAGTGTAACAACAGTTCCAAAGGTGAAATGGCAGGAGAAGGGAGCTTTCCCATAGGATCTCAACTGTAAATCTGGACTGGGTGTGCAATTGCCAATCACTTGAATGAACAATGCCAAGGACCAGAGATAGTCCTTCTGGAATCAAGTAAGTAGCACTCATGACCTTCAAGAATTTGATGATTCAAGAGGAAGGCAAAGCCCCAAAAGATGATTGGTGCTACTCTTAAAAGAAGATTAAAGACTGAACTTGAATGAACCCCAGAACGATACCGCACAATGCCACTTTAAATCTCCTAGTCCGGGAGTCATTTACATACAGTTCAGAAATGCTATAGACAGAGTATCAGTCAAAAATATCACTGAAGTGGGATAGGCTCCACTAGGGTTACTTGCTCTGTGGAAGTGTTTTCATGCTTGCCATATCATACCTGCTCAATAAATATTTACTGAAATAAGCAAATGAATGACTGGACGAGTGCATGCATGCCTAGAAAATAATAATAGGCAGAACCACTCCATGTCTCTCATTAGGGCCTCCTCAGCAAGCAAACCTTTTGAGGATCCCCAAAGTGAGGGAGTTTCAATAAAGAGAAGTTTCTTTGTCTTTAATAAAATAGAGCTGCCACTGCTGTTCCTGTGAGGTCTAGGTGCCAGCCTGCAGCCATGTTCTACTGCTAGCCAAAAGGGAAAGTGTGAATCATATTTGTGACCAAAAAAAACCAAAAAACAAAAAAAAAAACCATCAGACTCCAATCAATGCAGAGCTGGTGGCTGATGACTGCAGCATTCCTATGAGGAGCCCAGATTGATATTGCCAAATGGATACATTAACTGAAACTACCCAGGCCTTAGGGAAATGGCCAGAAGAGTCCCCATTAGGGAACAGTTCAAGTCAACCTTTTCCTGCTTCCATTATAGGACATAGGATTCAAGGCCTCAAACTATATAAACCAGTTCAAGGCCATGCAGGAATGTATGCAGAAACACTCAAGCCTCTATCCCCATCAGGAAGAGGAAGAGGAAGAGGAAGAGGAAGAGGAAGAGGAAGAGGAAGATGAGGAGGAGGAGGGGGAGGGGGAGGGGGAGGGGAAGTAGCCAGCAGAACATGCAGAAGAAACAACTTCCACTGAGGATACTATAACCAAAGAAGAGGAGGGGTCAAGCTAATGAAAGCCACGAGGCACTGGGCTCCAGTCCTTCCACTTCGTGGACCTTTTGCAAAAGGCCTTTCAATTGCCCTCCAAGAAAGCGTCTTTCCCTCTGTTGTCCTCTTCACTGTAATGTAGAAAATAACTTATTTTGGTAATGAGAGGTCTTGGTCTGTTGACCTATACACTGAAAAAATGGGGATTGTATGTATGTATGTATGTGTGTCCTACATACATACATATAAACCTGTCAACAAATGTCACCACCACTGAATTCTGTTTTCTCAGATTGCTCTCAATTTCGTCATTCTGAAATAATGTGCTGGATAATCTTAGCAACCAAAAATCATTATCTAGGAAAATTTCTTGTGAGACAGCTGATTTTTTCGGATTCATTATCTCTTTTAGATTTAATACCCCTTTGGGAAATGTAATAGAAAGAAAAACATTTTGAAAAGTGCTAGAGTGAGGCAGTTTCTATGAGAAGACGCCAGATGGTCAGATACATATTTCTCAAATCCCATCTTAACCTTGAATAGATGAGGGGGCACTACACTTAATTCCCAAGAAATTTTGGTTTCCATGTTGGCATTGAGCTCTGGGCCTTCTATGTTTGGACCCTCCCATCCATTGTCTCTTTCTAAGTGAAGGGAAAGATTGGATTTTGCTATTCCTTCTTATTCCAAAAGCTCTGGTTTAGGGCCCATGTTCACAGTGGCTCTCAGTCTGGTCAGATGTAATGTTCTTTAAAGGTGGGGACCTACTTGCTATCAGAGTAGCAGCCAAAAGAGGAAAAGGTGTGAATTAAGTACTCAATTAAAAGGAAACATGAGGCCAGGTGTGGTGGCTCATGCCTATAACTCCAGCACTTTGGGAGGTCAAGGCAGGAAGATCATGTGAGCCAGAGAGTTCAAAGCCAGCCTGCGCAACATAGCAAGATCCTGTCTCTACAAAAAAAAAAAAAAAAAATTAGCTGGGTATGGTAATGCAGGCCTATAGTCCTAGCTACTCTGGAGGCTAAGGTGGGAAGATCACTTGATTCCTAGAGGTGGAGGTTGCAGTGAGTTGTGATTGCGCTACTGCACCCACCCTGGGTGACCCTGTCTGAAAAAAAAAAAAAAAAAAGGAAACATGATTTCTAATATAGATAATTAGAAAAGACATATCTACCTATATTAGAAAATATATGTACACATATATAGTAGAAAATATATATACGTATATTGGAAAACATAATCTCTGTGTGTGTGTGTGTGTGTGTGTGTGTGTGTGTGTGTGTGTGTGTGTATTTGTTCTATCTTATACATTCCACTCAGGTCATGAAGATTTGATTTTGGAGGCTGATGCAAAAGTTTGCCACCTGATTTTAAAACTCAGGAAGGCAGAAGAGAATGGGTAATGACTATAACTAGTTTCCAGCAAGAGATGCCTCCCTTTATAAACACCTGCCAGAACTGACATAAACAGAGAATAAGATATAAGGAGTCATAAAGAGATGTGATGTGCTTTAAATGCAACAAAGTATCAGGCAAGGAATATATTCTACTATAATATGTATAGCATATGGGTTTTATTTGCTTCCTAGAGATAAAGTGATCACTTAAGCTATGAAAATTACTATCATTCATCTCTCTACATGCATTCCCATCCTTGAGAAGTGGTAGGAACCATGGGCCTCTGTGATGTGTAAACAAGTGCTCTTGTGAACAGAGGTTTCATTCCACTGAGAGAAATGGCTATGCAAAGCAGTGCCTCAAGAGAGCAAGGCAAATGAATGTCTCACCTAGAGTGTTTTGAAAATTTATAATATATATGATTGCACAGAAGAAGGTTTTCCTGTACTCTCCTTCCATCCTACCTTCAAACAGATTACACTACTCTCAACTCCAGTGGAAATAAGAGGTATCCTTCACATTATACTCAGCTGTGATGCAAGAAACCTGGGGACTTACAACATTGACACAAAGTATTTCAGGCTGTCAACTGACAACCTCTCCACTCCCCAAAGCTGAGACTTCAGTAATGGCATTACATCCGATGTCCTATTTGACATATACAGGACTCAGGAAATCCAAAGAAAATATAAGTTTTATCATTTCATGATTCACACTTCGTACAACCAGAGATCTCCTCTACACAAAAACGCAGAAAATGTTAGCATACCCCATGGGTATGCAAATTTTCTTGTATGGTTTTATTTACAAGAAAATTTAGTTACTGAATTATGAAACAGACACATAGGGGTGCGCTTTGGGGATGAGTTCAAGAGGATGGAGGATGTCCATCTCTGAGATATATTAGTACTTCTACAACCTGTGTGCCAAGCACCGGTGGTTAACTAACATATCCTCCAGATGCTCAGACACAACTTAAAGCAGAGAAGTCAAGTAGAGAGATTTGAAAAAGGAATTCTAACACTAGCATACTAAATTTCCAAATAAATTGTTTAATCACGTTGTGCCTTCATTTCCCCAATGATAAGGTAGAGATAATTACTTTTTCTTATTTCACAGGGGGCATTTTTAATAATAAAACAAATTACTTGAAATCTTCAGAGAAAGGGCACTATTTTAGGCTACATATAAAAGAAACAGAAAGAGAAACTTGAGCCAATGGTCATAAATTCTGCCAAATTAATCTAATGTTTAGAAAGAAAGACTGGGTAAAAACTCACAACTGTTGTTCTCACCATAACTGAAATACAGCACATTAAAGAGAGGGAGAAAGAGATCAACTTTGAAAGCTCAGAAAGTTCCATTTCTGGTAACCACAAACACTCTTATCAATTCCCCGCTGAAAACACCCTCCTTACCGTCTCCCTTCCTTTCCCTTTCTCTTATTACTCTGCCTTTTTCTCCGCGTTACTCTGCCCATCTCTCAGCATCTCTATCACCTTTTCCTCCCCTATAATTATAACCTCACTCCCACTGACACACATAGAGCTGACCCAAAGGACCTAAGAATTCTTCTAATCAGTCTCCCACGTAGTAAGAAGGGCCAACTGGAGACTGAAGTGAGATGTCATGGGCTCAAGGTCAGGGAGACAGTTATATGCAAAGCTGGGTCCTCACCTCACATATGACTCCCCCAGTACAGTGCTCCTTCCACTACTCCACACAAGTCCGCCTGGGCCTGTTCACCAGCCTCTTCCAAGAAATAAACTTATGAAACAGATTCACCGTGCTGCTCTTCCACCATATAAAGCGCCTTGAGTCACAAGTAGAAAAATAAGATAACACCGATGACAGCAATCAGATTAGACTCCTGTATCTGGAAGACACATCAACATTTTAACCTTCTTTACCCTTAATCCATCTTTACAGGAAGTAAGACACACGAGGCCAATTCCACAATGAGTCTCCTCCCCAGACATGCACTCCAATGTGCAGCATCACATCCATTAGTCAAACCTAAATCCTTCCTAATGACAGTACTGAAGCAAAATCACAATACCAGGTTTTCCAGATCTGGCTGAGAAGACACTAACTGAGCCCCTAAGTACAATGAGCATAATTAATATGGAGAAGACACATTTAGCACATTGCTAAATTTCTCTACACCCTCATTTTTAACAGACTAAATAATTTTAGCCCCTTTAACTTTATCGTCTTTTTATTTTTATTTTTTTAATTTTTTTTTTTTTTTGCTTTTTTCTAACTTTATCTTATAAATATATTTATGGCTTTTATCTAAGTCCCCTGTAAATTGTCCATGTTGCTTTTTGAAAGCTACAGTCCAGAACCAAAAACAAGTAGCTAAAATGTTTAATATAAGACAAATTCCATCAACAAAAGTATTGGAAAGTCTGTACAAGCCCAGGACAATCAATGAAATTTGCATGTGAAAGAGGTAGTTTTCTGACAACAAATACTTTTCAATTAGACTACTTTATAAACTTGAGGAGTAACTAGAAACTATAAAGAAAACATCAAATGAGTCTTCAAAGCATTTTCAAGCACAAACCCAAATACAGTTTACTGGATGCCATTTAATTTGGCAGCTCTAACCATGTAGCCAAATAGAAGGTTGGCATAAGAGATAAGCCAACAATGTCCAAGCTAAATCCCCTAAATATGGTCAGAACAATGTTAAGAAGCAAGGTGAGAAATCAAGGAATATGCAATAGGAATTCAATTTCCTACAAGATAAAGAAAGATAATTAAATAAAAATCCTGACTAGCTAGGGAAGAATGTCCAGCAGCAAAATAATAATAATAATTATTATTATCTCATGTGTGCTATTGGTATAGAGCCTTGAAAATCATAGGCTGCTAAATTGCAAACATCAGGGAAGTAAAGCAGTAGCTCAAAAGATTAATCTTAATCAAAAGATTAAGAAAACTGAGATTTCCAAACTGATTTTGAAAAGGAAACAGGTCAGCTCATCACAGATGAGAAAGAAGCTTCTACTATTTGGCTGGCTGTTTTAAATCAATAACCTGGAATATTTGCAGGTTAAAAGTCCTATAAAAATGACACAGGGAGACGTAAATGGGGTAGAAACAACAGTGTTTACACCTTCATAATAGAAAAGTATTACTAAAAGGATTTACAAGGTAGTAACATGATGTATATAGAAGTCAAAGAGCTTTAATAAATGATGAGAAAAGGCATTAGGCATGTAAAGCCAAAGGACTGGACATAACTCCACCTACACGTACTAGATTATTCTAAACCAAGTAAGCCACCCCAAGATTCACAAAAGATCATGTTTTATTTTTCCCTAAATGGCAGTATTCCCATTAGCACCAAACCAGTAAAGGCAGTTAGGTAGAAAAACCAAGAGTTAGAAGAACACAAGACACTAGTCCTTTCTGGGATGCTGTTACACAAATTGCTGAAACAATCTAAACATACATCTTGACCTAAAAAGGTCCCAGGCTTAAAATCCAAACTAAAAGAAAAGCAAGTATATTGCCCTTTTCTCCTATTGGGAAAACCATGTCACCACTGAAAAATTAGAACAGATAAATAGTAATGAGTCAGTATAATAAGTATCTTTTATTTATAAAAGCACCTAGATTGGCATCAAACTCATCAACTCCTGGCTGTCTTCAATAATGACCAGGCCTCCTTTGGAGATGACTACTTCTTACCATCCTTAATCTGTACCTCAGATGTGTGACTTCTTGCCTAACAGTATCACAGATTACAGACTAAATGTTTGTGTCCTCCCCAAATTCTTATGTTGCAGCCCTAACCCTCTGTGGTTATATTTGAAGAAGAGGCTTCTCAGAGAGTAATTAAGGTTAAATGAGTTCATAAGACTGGGGACCTGATACAATAGGATTAGTGTCCTGATAGACAGATACCAGAGAGCTCATTCACTTGCTCCCTTCATCCCTGTGGTCTTACAAGAGGAAGGCCATGTGAGGACTCAGCAAGAACGCACCAACTGCAAGCCAGGAAGAAAGTCCTCACTAAAAACCTAGTGGATCAGAACCTTCTCTTAGGCTCTAGTCTCTAGAACTATGAGAAAATAAATTTCTGTGTTCTAAGCCACCCACCCTGCGGTGTTTTGTTACAGTAGCCTAAGGTGACTCAGACATATCTATCATATTGATGCTTAATAGTGAAAGTTTCAATTTATTTCTTACATTTCCTAATGCAATGCTCTGTAAGGCTGGATGGTTTAGAAATGCTTCTTCAACATAATAATTGTTTTTAAAAGTCTCAGACTACAATAACAGCCATCACTTTCTATAAGCACTGATGGTGTTATAAGCCAAGAATTTTTAAAGGCAAATAAATTTTTCTTCTTATCTAAAAAGCTGCCTGGATAATGCTTTCTCTTCCTTTACTCACTACTGAAAACTGTCAACAGCAACTCAAGTAATATAATTTCTGTTCTTTTTTTTTTCTGGAGGTAGTCTCACTCTATCCCAAGGCTGGAGTGCAGTGGTGCGATCTCGGCTCACTGCAACCTCCACCTCCCAGGTTCAAGAGATTCTCCTGCGTCAGCCTGCCGAGTAGCTGGGATTACAGGCACCTGCCATCAAGCCCGGCTAATTTTTGTATTTTCAGTAGAGATGGGGTTTCACCAGGTTGATAATTTCTTTTTAGGAATTACAAACAACAGACAAAGTATCTTGTATGATGGTAATTTATGTGCACGTGTCTGGTAAAAAGACCAAAATGCACTTACGCAATTTTTATATACATGAGATACTTTAGTTCCTTGATTCTACGCCAATTTATCTAAATATTAACAAACTTAGGACGGTGGGCCTTGGGCTTAGAGAATATTACATTGTGGAATCAGAGAATCATAAAATCATAGAATCACAGAGTAGAGGTTTGTCTCAGTGAACCTCACTACTTTTTCAAATGCGGAAAACCAGAGTTCAGTACCTTGCTCAAAGTAACATAAATAGTTCCCTTAATTCCCAGAATTGTGTTTTTTTACCGTATTGTTAAGCAATAATTTTCTGTAAAGTAAAATAATAATTCTCAAAATTAATAAACACATATAAAAGATTTAACTCACTAATTAGGGAACCAGTAAGATGCCAAGTCTAATTTTTAAAAGATTTCAAAGAAGAAACAAATTAACAGAAATGCCAGCAAGATGTAAAATCTGCAAAACCAGTCAATATGCATAGGACAATAATCTAATGCATCCTCCAAACACAATTGGCATGTTACGGACAAGAATACTGTACTTTATCGTCTATTTTCTACAATGCACACAACTCTAGTACAGCTCAAAGACAATGAAAGGCAGAGCTAACCTGGATGGTTGAGCTAGACAGAGCACGCTTTAAAAAAAAAAAAATCATTTCAAAGTCTTTCACAACTTTTCCTCACAGTCCCTTACCATGTACAAGTACTCTCAAACTAGAGAACAGCATGATGGGTGAGTTTAAAAAACAAAATTCAGAATTCTTGCTTCATTGCTAACTTTCTGAAAGGCCTGAGAAAAAGACCCAAATTACGGCATTAAGTTGCTTTTTAAAAACTGTGAAAAAAAACAAGCGCATCTTAAAACTACAAGCTTTGAAACTTTTAAATTGCTTAATTAAAATATTTCCAGATTCAGTTCATTTTTAAGCAAGACTGCAGCCCTAAAGAGACCACTATTTTTTTTTCATCTTTTTTGAAACAAACATGATTAAAAAGTCATTGTTTGAATAGAAAACTATGAATTAAACAAGCAAACAAACAACCCCACAATAATGAAACCCATTCCTGGGAGACAATGACAATGCAAAGTACAAGAAAACCATTTTTAAGCATTAGTTCATGTGAGCACCTATTGATGGAAATACTGCTAGTGAGTCCTCCTAAGAACAGCTTTTTCATTGTCCTATCAATAGTTTTTGTGGCTCACATTCCTCACATGTACTGAGGGCATTCATGATAAAAAAAAAAAAGTATCTAGCATACCTCTTGCTGTCAAGTTGTAAAACTTCAACTTGTTTTGGGAATGTTAAGAATGTGTAATAAATATGGATTTATTAATTTACAATAAAACACTAATGGGTGAAAGGACCAGACACCCATCCTCGGACCTGCACGTTTCCTCCCTGCACAGGAAGTCAAACCATAATCAGAATGTTGTTTTGTCTGGCACCATAGCAACAGCAACGAGCTGCATACACCATGAAGCGCATCGGATTATTCATTCATTCTGCATGTTCTGGCCTATAGCTAGAAATATAGCCATGAACATGAGAGATCAGAAGCCTGAGCTTGTAGAGTTTATAACCTCCAGGTTGGACTCTGAAAATGAGATCTCCTTGCCACAGGATCTGTGCAGGATGATCCTAGTTCTAGCTTTCTCTGGCCTAGATAATGCCTAATGGAGCCCTGCAAATATTCACTGTACTTTTCAAAAAATATTTTTTATACAATATAAAATTTTCACTTTAACCATTTTAAGTGTACACTTCAATGGCATTAAGTTCAAAATGTTGTGTAACCATTACCACTATTTCCAAAAGGTTTTTGTCATCTCAAACAGAAGCTCTGTAGTAAGTTTGCTTTTTAAAAGTGCCACATGTTAATAACATTTCTGGTTGACATATCATATTTTTTTTAAAAAGTATCTATCTTAAGAGCTCAATTATAGGCCTGCCCATAATGTGTTTCTTTAAGAGGTCTGGGTCAGGTGTGGTGGCTCACATCGTAATCCCAGCACTTTGGGAGGCCGAGGTGGGTGGATTGCTTGAACTCAGGAGTTTGAGACCAGCCTGGGCAATATGGTAAGACCCTATCTCTACTAAGAACACAAAAAAGGGCCAAGCACAGTGGCTCAAGCCTATAAACCCACACTTTGGGAGGCCAAGGCGGGCAGATCACAAGGTAGGAGATCAAGACCATCCTGGCCAACATGGTGAAACCCCATCTCTACTAAAATACAAAAATTAGCTGGACATAGTGCCGTGGGTCTGTAATCCCAGCTACTCGGGAGGCTGAGGCAGGAGAACAGCTTGAACCCAGGAGGGGGAGGTTGCAGTGAGCCGAGACTGCACCACTGCATTCCAGCTGGGCGACAGAGCGAGACTCTGTCTCAAAAAAACACACAAAAAGGAGTTGGGCATGGTAGCACACACTTGCAGTCCCAGCTACTCGGGAGGCTAGCGGGGAGGATCACTAGAGCCTGGAGGCAAAAGCTGCAGTAAGCCAAGGTCACGCCACTGCACTCCAGCTTGGGTGACAGAGCAAGACCCTGCCTCAAAAAAAAAAAAAAGAGGTCTGTATGTTTATTTTGCCATTGTGTTTTTTTAAATTTTATTATATTAAAAACATGAAGTGTTTCACAAATTTGCATGTCACCCTTGTGCAGGGGCCATACTCATCTTCTCTGTCTCATTCTGATTTTTTAGCATATGTGCTGCTGCAACATGTACTAGCCATTCTATTTCGATTTTATAACTGTTTTCCAAAAGGCAAACTTATTGCTAAGTTCTTAGAGAGAAAGGTGCCTCACTGTCATGTCCTCCCTCCCACCCCACTGCACACAGGTGCTTTCAGCTACAATGCACACTATTTCATCCAACTCTTACAAATATCTAAAGAGAAGTTACCATCACCTTTTCAGAGATAAGGAAGCTAAGACCGGCAGGAATGATGTTTCTCAAAGCTACTCAGCTACCAAGGGAACAATGCAAGCATCGGTAACAGTTATTCCATGATGGAGCCATGACTGACTGGATAAATGTATGTGTGTTTTTATTATATACTTAATATTAACTGGTTCTAAGACTGAATACGCCATTAAATTTGTTATTAAGATATATACTCCTATAACAAGAAGGGACGTATAAGAGAGATGAAAAGGTTTTAAAGACACAGGAAAGGCTAAAGAAGTGATTTTACACGGATAAACTCTGGGAGAAATCTTCAACCTATCTCCCTACAAACAGTTGATATGAGTCACTTAGGGTGGCTGCCTTTTTTCTGAAAGCTGTCATACATGTCCACGGGCAAAATAAAGAAAAAGAGACTCTACAATTCATTGATGTATGTATCATGGTAGCACTCTGTGGTTTTATGACAAATTGAAATGCCATCATATGCCACTTTTAAAACCCAAATAACAAAAACAAAAACTCCCAGGGACAGCAAAGGCAAAATACTGTCCATTGTATGTGCTTGGATACACGTGTTTCTAAAAGCAACATGTGAATTTCTCTTTTCAAGAAAATGTTTAAAGAAACTGGTACGGTAACAAACAAGGAAAAATATGGAGAGCAGTTTAAAGTTAGTATTTTGTTTTTGTAGAGTTTAATTTATTTAGAGAAATCCTTATTACAACTCCTCTCTGAGTAAGGAGCTCAAAGGAAAGGTAATAGAGACTAGTTCTTAAATGCAGAAGTCCAAAAGACTAGTATTTAAGATCCAAGTCTATCACTCAGTAAGTGTCAGATATTGGCCATATTACACAATCTCTCTCTGTTTCCTCAAAATAATACCGCTTAACAAAGGATTAACTAAAATAGTACATGTAAAGCACCACACACAGACCGTAGCATATACTGTGAGTTTTATTTAAGCATTAAAAAGCATGGGAAGTGGGCAGTCACTGAAGCACATTGATTTAAATTATTACTCAATTAGACTAAATTCAAAAAAAATGACGATTTCTTTGTCCCATTCCCCAACCCACACACAAAAAGCCAACAAACAACAGAAGATAGTCGAGGTCAAGATTTTCAGCTTGTTCTCCAGCTATTATTTTTTCTTCCCTACTTCTATTTTGGATTAAGGTATTTCAACGGACCAAAATCAAAGCAGAACAGAAGGAAAGCAAGAGAAAATGGAAAGCAGGAACTAGAAAAGCCAGTATCAGAAACATACAAAGCATCTCCTCACTGCATTAGCAAAGCTTACCATGCAACATTCAATAGGTAAACAGTGATGACTGGCTGACACTGGGTTTAAGACACTATTCTACACGCCCCACATACTGAATACTCTAAGGTAGTTAGAGAGAAACTGAGGGGGAAGACAGAGAAAATGCACCTCACAGTTCATTCTGTATGTCACTGTTTTACACACAGGAGTTTAAATGGTTTGGTACCAACTAAAGACCAACTATCAGTTCTCCATGGAAGCAGCAAAATATAAAAATATCCTTGAAATCAGTACAGAGCCTTTCTGCTAGGGTCTGGTGATACAGTTTTGAGATTCCTTGTCTTGGATCATTCCTCATTTGTTGGACCCACAAATAATGGTCCTGCCTAGAACCATCACCACAAGTTGGAGTGAAAAAATGCCAGAGGACTAGGCTTGTGGGTAAAAAACTCAATTTTCTCATGATTGACCTTGGGTAGCCTCAACAAGTTATATAAGGTTGTTGTTTCTACAGAAAGACACTGCATTTTCAGAACATCTCTAGGCACAAAAATTAGTCACGCAACTGAAAGACAAGAAAATTTTAAGCATATATTATAAATAAATGTGAATACTAAGGGGTGTGTATCCAAACACATGAATAGCTCTGAAAAGAATAAGATAAAAATATCAAACATACTTGAAATCAGAGAGATGTCTTCTGGGAACTAAACTCTTGCCATGAAAGGAGAAAACTGGAAAGGTCTTCAGGGGTTCCGGTGCCTGTTCAACCATTAATTCATAATGTGTTGCTGGAAAAAAATCTTAGTGTCTTCAAGCCTCATTTTCCTTATCTGTTTCTGTCCAAGATCTCACTGGGTTCTTGTAAGAATCAAATATGGTAACAGTTATTCTTGAAATATGGCCACAGACCAGCAGCATCAGTAACACAGGAGCTTGTTCAAAATGTAATTGAGTCCCACCCAGCCCTACTAAATGTGAAACTTCAGCAATCAGTTATTCTGATGCACCTTGAAGTTTGATAACCACTGCACAAAAACAGATCCAACCTGAAAATCTTGAAACACTGAAGTGTTACTATGGAAAAAATTAAGACTATTACATTGTTTGAAGATTTTAAGAACTTTCACTTACAAATGGATATAGAGAAGGCTATGTGTGGCTTTTGTTGTTGTTGTTTTTGTTGTTGTTGTTGAAACAAAGCATCACTCTGTCACCCAGACTGGAGTGCAGTGGTATTGTTACAGTTCACTGTAACCTTGATTCCTGAGCTCAATCAATCCTCCTTCCTCAGCCTCCCAAGCAGCTGGAACCACAGGCATGTGCCATCATGCTCAGCTAATTTTTATTTTATTTACGTATTTACTTTTTTATTTTATAAGAAAAGAGGTCTAACTGGAGAAATCAGCAAAAAGAAAGGGGCTACAGAACTCATGCAACTTTGGAACCCAGCAGGGCAGTCATTAAATCTTAAAGCTCCAAAATAATGTGGCACATTTTTAATTTTTCTTTTGTAGTGACGAGGTCTTGCTATGTTGCCCAGGCTGGTGCTGAACTCCTGGGCTGAAGTGATCCTCCTACCTCAGCCTCCTGAAATGCTGGAATTACAGGCGTGAGCCACTGTTCCTAACCTATGTGTGGCTTTTTTAAAGCCCAGATTCACAATTAATGTAAATGCTACAATAAAATAAAATCCAAAATTATGGCACCTATCAATGTTAAAATGCACTGCTATTTCCTCATAACTTTAAAAGGATTGGGGGAAAGAAATAAAATTAGTAATGATTACATTTTTTTTTTTTTTTTTTTTTGAGTCTCTCACTGTTGCCCAGGCTGGAGTGCAGTGGTGAGATCTTAGATCACTACAATCGCCACCTCCCAGGTTCAAGCGATTCTCCTGCTTCAGTCTCCTGAGTAGCTGGGATTACAGGTGTGCACCACCACACCTGGCTAATTTTTGTATTTTTAGTAGAGACGGGGTTTCACCATGTTGGTCAGGCTGGTCTTGAACTCCTGACCCGATGATCCACCCATCTCAGCCTCCAAAAGTGCTGGGATTAGAAATGTGAGCCACCATGCCCAGCCTACATATTCTTTAAAGAGTAAATATTAGATTAAATTTATTTCCATCCAATTATTAATAAATAAAATGAATTTGAGATTAGGTCTCTCTAGGGAAAAAGAGGAACAATAAGTCTTCCCAGGATCTTTACATTTTCTTGGCAACAGTAATGCATTCATTGCTTTAAAAGGTAAAAGGTAAAATAAAATAAAAAATAAAGAAGAAATTAGTTACAAAAGATGCATTTCAATTGATAATGGAGGCTTTCAATGTAATAATTATAGGAAATCTTGGAGGAGTTCTAATAAGTAGCGCCTAATTAAGAACAGAATATGCTAAGAAAATGAAGAAGTTATATTAAGATTGTTTTACATTCTATATTCTAGTTAAGCCCAATAAAACATGTTAAAACAAACAAAAATGTTCCTCAGAAATATCCTTAGGCTCCATTTATTGTCATATCTCATCTATTACATCTAGTTAAGAAAATACAGCACTTCAGCCTCTGACAAATTAGAGACAACCTGAGAGTCACGTTGGTAGAAATACACATATTTGAAAAAATTCTGGGGTGAAAGTAAGGAAGAAGAGATTTGAAGAATAAATTAACATTTAAAATACAGTAAGATTATATAGAAATAGTTCAATGAAAAGACTTGCCCATAAAAAGCAAAATTATCAACTAACTGGAGATTTAAACTAGACTGTGTTGACGCATAAATTCTTCAGAATATGTTTATTTGTATGATTTTCTTTTATGTACCCTTCAATAAAACTTACACTACACAGTATACCAGACTAAGTCCCTAGGCAATGAGAAAAGAGGCAACCCCAGCAGTGGTCTTGTGGTTTGGCCTACCGTATGAAGACAGCAAGCCACCATTCATTCACCGGCCACTATCACACTGGCAGCCCCACATTCCTCTCCAGGTTTCTTCCCCACCGTATAAATCAGATCAAATCAGTTGTTATTTATAACCAGCAAAAAGGATGGAGAGGCCTTATAGTTACATTAGACACAGGCCCAGTGGTCTTCTCTTACTTCCTCAGAGATGGTCTCAGGAAGGAGCCACCAGCGCTACAGCAGCACATTTCCTGCAAATCCACACTTGGTTCTTCCGAGCGGTAAACAGCTACTATGGTACTCTCAAGCTCTCCAGGTACTCACACTTTTTTTCCCTCTTTACTTCTAGGCCTTCTTCTCTTTCTTCCCTGATTTTGTGTCCCCTTTCAAACTTTCCCTTTCATACATCAAAATGGCAAGAGCAGCAAAACATTCTAAATCATGGTCAATAAAGCCAGTGCTGGGGAACAAAATGGATACAAATTTATCATTATATTCTCTTCCATTTGGGAGTGGCACACAAGAGCAGTATACTGTTTTTATGTACTTCTCTACAACTGCAGAGCACTAAAGGTTCCTGATTCCATCATGAAATTTAAGAGGTACATGAGCAAAGGTACTATATTTGGAAAGTTAAAACAAAAGATGTATTAACCTCTGGGATGTTGTTTTAAAAAAGTATCATGGGGTCTACATACTTCCTAAAGGGAAAAGTAAACATTTTTTTGAAGATTTTATATACCATAGTTTTTCACAAATGTTATCTCATGAGTAGACATGCCAAACATAGCCATCTGTAGCTGTGCTATCCAAAAGGCAGTCACTAACCACCTGCGGCTATTTCAATTTAAAGCATAATTAACTAAAACTAAATTGAAAATTCAATTCCTCAGTCACATTCAACATATTTCAAGTGTTTGATACATGAAAACGGCTACTGACTGCCATACTGCACAGCAAAGAGAGCTAATATTTCCATTATCGCAGAAATCCTATGGCACAACAATGATCTAAGTCTTTCTCCCCCATGAAGATTTTCCACAAAAATGTCTGAAAAATTACGTTTGGTCCCTCTGGTACAATGAAGATTAATTCTTTCACACTAAAGCTCTTAACTAGAATCTGTATACACGTGCTCTATTGTACCTGCAGCCAAGTTTTCACCACTGCAAGTTTCTATACTACACTTGGCCTACTGAGAGCTCCAGTCTTTCAAAAACTCTTAATACATCCAAACCTCTCTTGAATGGGTGGCAAAGGTTTGGATCAAAAAAGACATCACATTTTTGCACATATGACATAACTGACCCCTATGAAGTATGATCCCCGGGGCAGTGACAAAACTAAGTTTATGCTACTGAGGTTTTGCTTGCCCAGAGAATATAAAGGACTTTTCTGACTGTGAAGTCACTAAATAACCTAATAGTTTTAATAATGAGGGCAAAAAATATTTTAATGGGTATAATGTCATTATCAAACCACAAAAAAGGCTACACATGAAACAGAGTTCAATTTTGGTTAGATTTCCTTTAAAGTCTCACAGAACTCACGTGGCACGGGGCCTCTGTGACAATAGGTAAATTTTCATAAATGCTTAAGTACATCTGGATTCTATTCCAGTGACCTACAGGGTAATACATCATTCTGTCAGTTTCACAGGCACATTCATATCCTATTCTCCAAAACCAGAAATGGTCCAGAAATTCCTAGTCCACATGACATGTTGCTGAAGGAACACACATAACACACAAATGCACAAACACACACACACACGCACGCACTGAAATAATATATAACCATTTACCTTTCTTCTAAATTTTACCTTCTGTGGTTCAAACTTTACCTGTGTTGACAAAGAATGCCTCTTACTAAGTTATTACCCTACAGGTCACTGTAATATAACATCACATACCTGGATTATTATCATGAGTGAAGGGTTCTTTCATATAGCTCAACAGGAGGATAGGAAGCTCTATGAAAACTCTGATTTTTGCTTCATTTTTAACCGAAAGGATTCAGAGCCTTTGTCAATACCAGCTGTTGCAGTGGTTGGCTGCCTGTGATAATAGGCTGCCTTTCACCTGAAAGAATGAAGGGGCGTTTCTCAGAGTAATATCTTACCATACAGAGGATGATACTGTCTTAAAACCTAGTGAAAATCAATTTCACTGTCATTTCTATTATTTTATTTTTTTTTTTTTAGACGGAGTCTTGCTCTGTTGCCAAGCTGGAGTACGGTGGCACAGTCTCAGCTCACTGCAACCTCCACCTCCCGGGTTCAAGTGATTCTTTTGCTTCAGCCTCCCAAGTAGCTGGGACTACAGGCGCGTGCCAAACGCCTGGCTAATTTTTGTATTTTTAGTAGAGACGGGGTTTCACCATGTTGGCCAGGATGGTCTTGATCTCTTGACCTCGCGATCCGCCCACCTCAGCCTCCCAAAGTGCTGGGATTACAGGTGTGAGCCACCACGCCCAGCCGGTCATTTCTTTATTAAAAAAACACCTCCTTTGCAGAAATATCACTGAGATGTCACGTTTAAACTTTTTTCTACTTCGTATCATTTATAAGCCAATATTTTTTATATTTTTGACAGTTCTTTAGGTCTGGGCAGGGGTGACATTTGCCCAGAATACATTTGAATATGGTCTGCCGATTACTTCTAAATATCCTGTTTTGACTGATCAATGCTTGCACAATGCTTAACTACTAGACAGTAACTCCTGGATACACACACTGCTGCTTGTCTTTTCTCTTTCGTGTAATTAAAGTAGTAAATGTCCAACAAAAAGCAAGATTCCAAGGGGTCAATTGCTGACCTATTTGCATTTCTAATTCTAATCCAAATTAAATAAATGGAAAATCCACTATAAAAGAAAAGCACAAAAGGCAATCTTCACAATCATTACCCAGGGAATCACTGCTTTGCAAAATCATTAAAAATTATCTTGAAAAATAATAAAAGCAACTTGACTGAGACAATTTTACAATTCTAAGTAATGTTCTTTTAAGTGTTATTCTTTTAAATTTTAGTTTTGGCAATTCTCAACTGTAACTACAACAGAACATTCTTCCCCAAAGAAAAACAAATTTAAATCTATTTATTTCACAATTGTGGTCACCAACATTTAACAGAAATACTTGCTCAGTATAGCAGCTCATGCAGCTTAAAAAATTTAAAAGTTATAACTTTTACATAGGGCCTAGAGACAAAGAAAACTCATTAGCAATAAGCATAAGGAGTGCCTAAATCTTGTTTCCTAAAACCATTCTCCAATAAAAGAAAACAGGGCACAATGAAGAAATGGCTGCTTCTAGGATATGAGCAGAAAACATACAAAACAAGCCTGGAGCATCTTGTCACGGCGG